GCTAAGCGGACCCTTGATGGCAGGCTTCGCGGTCCCGTTGAGACCTTGCTGGCGAAGCGGCGGCCGCGGCAGCCAGCCTCGAGCGAACCAGTGCCGCGTGTAGGTCTCCAGCAGAGCCCGGTCGACCTTGGGCCGTTCCACGACCGCCCGGAAAGGACGAGTGGCCGCATTGTCCAGCACGACGATGCCCCGGAGGAATTCCACCGTGGGCATGCCACTGCGGAGGATATCAACGGTGAAACCACCGTCTCCACCCTTGACCGCACTGCGCTTCTCATTCCACAGTGATACCCAATCATCCCATGCCAGGGACTTGGTCGGGTAGCCCAGCTCATTCAGAGATGCAAAGACTGCCCGTGTATCGACCGGGTTCGGATCGCCGAGGTGGAACACGGTTTGCTCAGCGTGCGTCTGGCTGGCCAGATGCACAATAGCCTTGCTGACAAAGTCCACGGGAGTCATCTCTGCTCGCCAGCCTTCCACTTCAGGCGCGTAGCCGAGCTTAATTGATTCAACGAACAAGGCTGACAACAGATCCCAGGCATTAGCGGCACCCGTCTGGCTATGGCCGCTGATGGTTCCGGCGCGGTGGATCTTCACGGGCAGTCCGCGACGACCCGCTTCGAGCACCAGCTGCTCAGCCACCCACTTGGTTTGGCCGTATCCATCCAGCAGCTTGTCAGGAACGTCGTCCACCGGGAGCATGGCGTCTTCCGGCCAGCCCTTTTCTCCGGACGGTGGGAGCACGCCATTGGTGGACACATATTGCACGGTCGCACCACCCTTGCATGCCAAGCGGAGGACTTCTCGCGTACCGCCGACATTGGGCCCGCGAAGGGCCGCATAAGGGTAGACCAAGTTGACGGTGGCCGCGGCATGAACGATGACTTGCACGCGGGCGGCGAGCTCGTCGAAGGCTTCTGGGGAGAGGCCGAAGCGGGTCCGCGACAGGTTTCCGGGCAGGATCTCAACGCGCTCCATGATGGAGTCCCGCCACAGTCCCAGATCCAAGAGGTTTCGGCGAATTCTGGCCGCACCACCAGGCTGGTCATCATCCGCCGGGTCCGTAAATCGGACCAAGCAGATGATATGCGCCGAGGTGCTCTCGAGCAGATCGTGCAGGAGGAAGGCGCCAAGGAATCCCGTCACTCCCGTCAGGAGCACCGTGTCTGCGTCGGTGACCGAGCGGATGGCCGCTTTGGACGGTCGGATATCATCGTCGAGAGTAGCGTCAGCCCGGAGGACCGCGGGGAGATCGGCTTGGACCGCAGCAGTATGGCCGTCGCGAATGTCACGAACGGTCTGGAGATGGCCCGCCAAGGTGGCGTTTTCCGCCAGCCGGGCGATCGGAACGCGGAAGCCAAAGTGTCGGGACATGCGCGAGGAGAGGTCCGCCAACGACAGGGAGTGTCCACCCAGATCGAAGAAATCATCGCTGGGCTTCAACAGATTGCGCGCGGTTTTGAGGGCGACCGCCCAAATGGCAGCCACTTGGTCAATGCCGATCGAATCCTTCTCCACGGGCTTTCCATTCCCGTTGACGTGGTCGGCGGTGCGTGGGGGAGGCAGGCGTTTGAGATCAACCTTGCCCGTCACATCGTGTGTAGGGAGCTCCTCCAGCTCCACCCAGAGAGATGGGATCATGTAATGTGCCAGGACCTGGGTGAGGGTGCGACGCGCGCCCGGGCTATTGCCCGCCTCATTGATTTCAACCACGGGGCGGTCAGTGGCATGGTCCTTGTCGCGGACAATGTATGCCACCAACTGTCGCTCCAGACCCTCGCCATGGGCCACCACGGCACAATGGCGAACCGCGAGATTCTTGGTGATCTCATACTCCACCTTGGCGGGCACGACGGAGTAGCCGCGCAGCTTGATCATGGATCCCACGCGACCGGTGATTTCGAGAAGGCCCGAAGGCAGTCGGCGAGCGAGATCGCCCGTCCGGTACAGACGGGACCCCGGAGTTGAATCGAAGGGGTTCTCCGTGAAGGCTTTGGCGGTGGTCTCGGGAAGGTTGAGGTACCCGCGAGCCAAAAGTGGACCAGCCACATAGAGCTCCCCGCTCACCCCGTTCTCCACCGGTTGCCGGTTATCGTCCAGAATGTGGGTGTTCTTGGGGTCAATCGGGGGCCCAACCGGACAGTACAGCGCTTTCTCGTCGAGCATCTCCCGAATATCCCCGCAGGCGATCTCGTGTGTTTCACAGGCACTGTAGCAATTGAGGAGGCGGGTGTTGGGCAGGGCTTGGCTGGCGCGACGGGCGAGATCGGTGGTCACCACCTCACCGTTGAACCACAGTGTGCGGAGATGCGGCAGGCGCGAGCCGATGTGAGTATGACGGGCAAGGACGGTAGCGAGGAGAGTCGGGGTCATGAGGGTTTCTGTGATGCGCTTCGCCGCGAGGAGGTCCACGAGGGCGGCGGGGTCGTAGCTGATGTCGTCCGGCACCGCGACAACGGCCGCTCCCCGCAACAAGGGACGCAAGATCTCCCAGATGAAGAAGACATTGCAAGCGACCCGATCGTTGGGAATCAGATCCTGCACGCCAAATCGTAGGTTATAGGAGAGAACCGGAGCTCTGTGGGGGTTGGCAATTCCCTTGGGCTTGCCCGTAGTTCCGGACGAATAGGAAACGAAGGCCAGACGATCCAGATCGTCATCTGCGGGCGGGGGAGGCAAATCGGAAACCCCGTTCGTCTCCGTAGCTGGTTCATCCAAGGAGATGAGGGGGACATCGGCCTTGATCTTGCCGACTTCGGCCCTACAGGTGATGATGACGGCGGGGTTCCCGTCGCGGATCACATCGTCCAGCAGCTCGGGTGGGTAGGCCAGCTCGAGCACCAGAAAGGCTCCGCCGGCGCGGAGAGCAGCCAGACAGGCAATGACATAGTCACTGCTGCGCGGGAGCAAAACTCCCACCAGGGTATCCCGTCCGACCCTGTAGTGATGCAGCCGCCGAGTCAGAGCATCGACCGCCCGGTCTAATTCCGCGTAGGTATATGTGGTCTTGTCGTCTTCCAGCGCCAGCGCATCGGGAGTAGCCTGCACCTGCTTGGAAAACAGGGCCGACAGGTCTTTGGTGACATCAATGATGGTCATTGTGTGTGGATGTGGGGGTCGCGTGGGGTGGAAGACGGAGGAGGAGGGGAAGAGAGTATACGAGGACGAGGAAAAGTGCGACCACCGGTCGACGGCAGATAATTAAGGAGGACTAAGGGGGGTATTTTAAGTCGCGAGGGCAGAGCTTAAGAGACACAAAACGAAAGAAATGAGGTGTCAGATTGGTCAATTCTGCGGTGAGAGCTGGAAAGAGAAGAAAACTGCGAGGAGGAATGAGGGGACAGGTGGGAAGATATAGGAACGAACGAACAGGGCAACTCACCGGCCAGCTTCCATGGCCTTCGCCTAGGAAACAAAGCAAACAGCAACCCGCCGCTGGACACGAAGGGCGGCGGATTGGAAAGCTTCCCAGGAAGCGTAAGAATCCAGCCATATCTGGCAGCTGTTGAGGACTTAGTGTGGACGAGACAGTGGGGGCTCAAGGAGGATAAGTAGCAAGTGAGCGTGTACCATCAGAGGCTCGATCACATGCAAATTACAGACATCCCAAAGAGGTTTAGTGGGGTCTCAACGTTCGCTCTTTCTGGCTGCTCGATAGAGATTATTCCAGACAATTACATCAATCGATAGGCCGATGTTCGGAAAGACAATATCGATCTCATTATGATGCCTTGGATAGCAGAGAGAATATTCCTTGGTTCTGCGGTGTACGAAAATTTGAGAAAGGAATTTCACTTTCTTGCCAGCGGGAAAATCTCGCTGGTTGCCCACCAATCGTGAGACTCGGACAGCCCTGCATGTGTACCCGGCTGGCCCTCGTATTTGGAGATTCCGAGTGGTTACAATTACACTAATTCCTCAGAATTTAAATATGACAATTTTTATTTTGTTTATTTTGTCTATGCATCTTTTGTGTGTGTGTGTGCGTGTGCGGTAAGCTGCATCAGCGTGCATGGATAAGCTTGTACCTGACGGAACTGAACCCTCCCGATTCTTCCCCCTCAGAAATCAGAATAATAGCTTTCCCCTCTCTTTTTGAGCGACCGACCGGGGATTGACTCCGCACCAGCAACTGAATACATAATGTCTCCTCCGTCAGCTCGAGACGGGGAGCGGTTAGTCCCGATCGAGACAACCGATATTATTATAGACAATGCCATTGGCTGCACGGGGCACTTCTAGTAGCGGGCCGCACTAACCCGATTTTCTTTTTGAGGTCAAATCCTTCGACATGTGATTGCGGGTCCCTTTTGCTCTGTTTGTTTTCCCTTTCTCTCACAGCTTCTCTCCCCCCCTCCTCTCTCTCTTTTCCAGATCTTTCCCTATCGATCCTTCACACCCCCCAGTAACCATCAGGATCACCCTTGACGCCATCGACCCTTGCAGCGGAGATGACCAGTTCCTGTTTTCGGGTGTCATCACTCTATCGGCACCCCGGATACTTGCATCGCCCGCAGGAACCGTGTGAGATAGCGCGTTCCAGTCCACTGTCGCTGGCTGCATCTTCCGGGATTCTTTTACCTATCACGGTAACACCTCAGACGACTGCATGCCTGCAGTCACCAGCAAGGACGTGGGGAGGACATGATGTAGCTAAGTACTACTACTTGTCACCTTATCACAAAGGGAGGACAGGAAAACCCCTCATGACTTGGGATTGGATGTTGATTCGTGTGTTCCCGGGTCACCAGCACGGTGGTATCGTGGGGGTAATATTCAGAGTGCAGAATGGTAGGTAGTATTCTTTCATTACACGACAGTGGTCACATAGCCTGTGTAATATGCAGATGTCATGTCAGGTCGGTCATTCCATCCTGGAATGTCTGTCATTGAATGAGGAATTTCCCTCAATCCCAGGCAGTGTAGACCAGCTGCTTGGGTATATAACAGCCACTGTGTGATGAGGCATTATCTGCACATTGCTACGAGAGGCAGCCATGACTGTTCTAAGTAAGTCAATTGTAGTGGGCCCTGCTGTTCCCAGAAGCTTGGGAAGAAATTGCTAGGGATTTCCAACATACTTGACACTTTTGGATCCCGAACTTATAGTATGAACATGACCACCCAGGAAGATGTTGCGTGGAAGTAAGTCCGCAGAATCATAACCCGCAAGGGTGCGTAGTGCGGCTGGTGGAATGTCGCTTGTCAGGATATACACTTAGTAACTGGTGTAGTATAATCCAGAATTACTACTAGAATTGTAATGGTTTTATCTATTATTAGTACTGTGTATATACATGATCCTGGGATAACAGTAAGTGGCCATCAGTTTCTTGATCCTAGATAAAGGTTGGTACTTGCGGAGATATATAAGTATCCGCCCTCAGATACAATGAGATTTATGATTGTTCGTTCATCGCCACTTCAACCACATTGTTACTAATCTGGTAGTAAATATGATAAAATTATCATTGTTATTCGTGTATTATAAAGCTACAGGATTCAAGGGAATGACTCTACTAATCACCCCGTCCCAGCGTATACTTTGCAGAACAATCACGTGATACCAACGGAGAATGATACTCCGTTGACCTTGCCCATGATTCTTGCCTCAGGCGTCCATATTGCATACTGCCTGAGGCGGTGGGCATTACCGGTCGGAGAACCCTTCTCCATTCCCATCCCTGGATCCATCATCATCACTGTTGAGAACAACAATAACAATGCCCAACGGATGAAAATCATATCCAGCGCCTTACGGGTAATACTACAGTATTCCGTGTTTCTCATCACCATCTACCTCTCCCAAGGCGATCATGGGACCCTAGACATGTCGATCTGGGGAAAGGCCCCGCGCGACCCCACTTGCACTACGGAGAGATACACTGATTAAGATAATAATACATCTATTATAATATTGCTTTTTACTTTGCCTTTTTTTTTGCTGGTTGCCTACCGCGATAAATGCGGTAACCTCGACACCCGCGACGAGGATATCGAGACTTCCTCCGTCAGGCGGATCCCGTTCTTGAAGGCCAATTGTCGTTCTTCCGGTGAGAAGCTGACGTCCATCAGCAGATCCTCTGACGACCCATCGTTCCGTGAATGCTTCGTCCCCTCACTCGGCAAGCTGGGGTTCCCCCCCACGCCAATGTTCACCTTGTATGCGTCGTCTGCTGCCGCGCGCGTCCCGAGACTGCTGAGTTTCACGCCGGTCTCCCAACTGCGTCCGTATGCCCGTTGTCCGCCACTAGGCTTGCCGCTGGTCCCCCCCGCCCGCGACGAGTATGCCTTGAGGTGTGAAAACCACGAACCGAACAATGATTTCATGGCCGGGATGGAGAGGGCGATCAGGGTGCCGCCGACTTCGGAGGTTTCGATGGCCAGCATGGGGTCGTAGGCCCAACTGCCGTCGGAGGACCATTGGCCGACGATGACCAGCCACAGGCGAACGCAGGAAATGACCAGAACCCTAGCAGAGGGTCGTACATTAGTAAAAGAGATAGAGAAAACACAGAGAAGAATATGTGGACTCACAAAACACCGGGAAACATGATCAAAGACAGCTGCAGTTTGCGCTTCGGCGACACTTGCAGCATGTAGATCAACATGGAGGGCAGGGCCAACATCATGATGTCGCAGACCAGGGATAGGGCCGAATTGGTGACATACACATCTCCCCACGTGATGCAGTTGTAATCGTCGATCTGCGGCTGCCAGGCGTAGGGCCAGAGTCCCGTGACGGGCAGGCAGTGGAACAACAGGAGGAAGAACTGGGCGAGAAAGGCGGCCAGCAAGAACCCGGCGGAGAGCTTGATGGCCAGAGAGATCTTGGGGTGTCGCGAGGCCAGACGCTGGTAAAAGGCCAGACCGGACAGGCGACAGACGAACAAGGCGGTGGTGTAGAGGATGTGCATGACAAAGTCGTAGCGTTCGGTCTCGTTGACGCGGGGCAGCGTGAGGACATATTGAATGTATTCAATATGTCGACCACTGCCCATGTCGATCAAAATGATGCAGAGGGCGACAATGGCAATGTAGATAGCCTATGCGGTGCCGAGTCAACTCGTCTATCCACCATGACTGCGGGGGAATATCAAGGCATCGGGGTAGTAGGTATAGCATACCAGAGTGAAAACAGCCAAAGCATCGTCCCAGCCGAACTTCTTGACGAGGAAGAGACGAGCGTAGCAACGGGCGACGACGATCACAAAGGTCAGAGCGGCGACGAAGAGAATGGCGATCTTGGTGGGCCGATCGCGCGACTGGGCCAGATAGTCGGCGGTGATGCTGTCCGGGATGCGACCCTCCGCCTCAGCAGTTTGAATGTCGGCGGGGATCTCAGACATGGTCGTGATGGCTCATCCGGGGCAGCAGATGGGAGAGAGACGACCGACAATAATGTCTCTCAACCTGGACAGGAAAAGGAAAAGGGGAGGACATGGGGGGGAAAGTGATTGATAATTATGAGGGAAGTTGGTGTTCCATATTAAAATTTTTGTGTGGGCATGACGACAAGACCAAGGAACTACTTGCAACCTATAACAATCGAATTCTATTCTTTTTCCGATTTAGACTTTGGAGACGAGAGAGCGAGAAAGTATTGGCAGGGCGGAATTGGATCGGGCCATCGGTACCGATCAAAGGCCGTTGCGCGATCTCGATGACTTACTACTACTAGTACTACTACTACTACTACTACTATACTACTCTTAGTATTTGCAGCTGTTTCCGGCCGGGGGATAAATTTAAGATGATTGGGCTGGTTCTAGGCTGAGGAAGCCTAACAAAGTCAATTGTTAACAATTGCTAAGGATATTGAAGAATAAACGCACGTTACCTAATGGCAATCATATGATAATACTAGTAGTATAGCTCAGGGGGTGAAGCTGAAAAAGATTGACCGAACTGCCACTCGGTACTCATTTCTACTTCTATCCAACTTTTCAGCAAGAAGAGGGACCCCGTGGGAAAAGCGATGCCGTACCCGCAGCAAAACAGCCTGTCAGCACTTTACTATAGGAAAGAAAATTGAGAGAAGATGCATGCGTAACAGGGAAGGAGCAATAATATTCATCGGGAGCACCGGATGGGACAGGCCGGGGCGGGTCGGGGTGCTCGCCTATCTGAAGATCCACTCTTGGCACTTTCTTTTCTTGCTCGTCTGACACAGTCGCCTGTCTAGGCATGTCTTGCCCTGAAAAAGCTTATTACTCTACTGAAATTGAATGAAAATCCATTTCGATCTCTCTCCTTCCTTGATTCTCTACCTCTTCTCTCTCGTGAACATTACCTTAAGGAATAGGACTGTGTCTATTCAAAAGTCACAGGTGTGTGTCAGAACTGTCACGGAAGGTTGTGGCGGCCGGTCCGTGTCCACCCACCCTTCGTTTGCCGATGAACTTTCCCTTTCTGTTCTGCTGGTTGCTCCCCCACACCATCCAGATTTTGACGCCTTTACGCAACCAATTAATCTACAACTCTGGCTAGGATCCAATCATCTCCTCCAGTCGGACTCTTTCTCCATCTCCCCAATTCAATAGTGGCATTCCAGTAGTAGTTAGTTTGCCCCCCCCCCTGTCTGCACTAGATCAGAAACCGTCCCCGTCCCTACAGTCAGTCCCTTGCATGATGCCGGTCGCCGTTGGTGCCTGTTCGCGCCAACCCTTTTAACCAACCACAACTCATCTGCTTTGCTTTTCTTTTCCCTCCCCTGTCTCATCTTCCCTACTAAATCTCTTTTTCCACGTGGCAGCGATCTGCAGGGAATCGAGAGAAAGAAACCGACGATCGGCCATGCCTTCCTTTGCCTCTTGGCTCCTCACCACCGGGTTGGCCGCTGTGGCCAACGCCATCACCCTCAATGACTCCCTCGTGGCTCAGCAGATTGATACCCAACCGTTCCCCTATGACTTCCCCAAGTTGGGCGTCAATGGCTCCGATCTCTTCCCCATGCGGGACTGCCATGGCTTCACCCTCGAGGAGGCCAGCATCGATGACATTCAGGCTCAGCTGAAGGCCGGTCGCTTCACCGGCTCCCAGCTGCTGCAGTGCTACCTCGAGCGCATCTACCAAGTCCAGCCCTACACCAAGTAAGTAACCCCCCCCCCTATTCTTTTTACAAAGATGTGTTTAGCTCATTCAGTGTGTCAGTGCCGTGCTGCAGTTCAACCCCGACGCCATGGCGATCGCCGAGGCGTTGGATGCCGAACGCAAGCAGGGTACCGTGCGCGGTCCCCTCCACGGCATCCCCTTCCTGGTCAAGGACAACATCGCCAGTAAGGACAAGATGGAGACCACCGCGGGCAGCTGGGCCCTCGTCGGCTCCGTCGTCCCTCGCGATTCTTACGTCGTCCATCGCCTGCGCGAGGCGGGTGCTGTCCTCCTGGGCAAGGCCACGCTCAGTGAGTGGGCTGACATGCGCTCCAACGACTACTCTGAAGGCTACTCGGGCCGTGGTGGCCAGTGCCGCAACCCCTACAACTTCACCGTCAACCCCGGTGGCAGTAGTTCCGGTTCCGGTGTGGCCGTCACCAGCAACCAGGTGCCCTTTGCTCTGGGTACCGAGACTGATGGTAGTGGTAAGTTTGGTAGATCGAAAGAAATCAAAGATGACATGCTAATATGGAGGACCAGTGATCAACCCGGCTGAGCGCTCGAACGTCGTCGGCATCAAGCCCACTGTTGGTCTGACTTCCCGTGCCGGTGTCATCCCCGAGTCCCTGCACCAGGACACGGTCGGCACTTTTGGCAAGACGGTGCGCGATGCGGCCTATGCTCTGGATGCCATCTACGGCATTGACCCCCGTGACAACGAGACCTATGCCCAGCAGGGCAAGACCCCGGCCGGCGGATACGCCCAGTTCTTGACCAACCAGACGGCCCTCAAGGGCGCCGTGTTCGGTCTCCCCTGGTTGTCTTTCTGGCAGTACAACGACGCGGCCCAGAACGCCCAGTTGATGGAGCTGTTGGCTTTGATCGAGGCAGCGGGTGCCACCATCATCAACGGCACTGAGCTGCCGCACTACAAGGAGATTGTCGACCCGTCCGGCTGGAACTGGGACTACGGCACCACGCGCGGCTACCCCAATCAGTCCGAGTACTCGTACGTCAAGGTGGACTTCTACAACAACATCCGGGACTACCTGGCGGAGCTGAACAACACCAACATGCGGTCGCTGGAGGATATTGTGCAGTACAACATCGACAATGCCGGCAGTGAGGGTGGTGTTCCCGGTGTGAACCCGGCTTTTGCCTCGGGCCAAGACGGATTCTTGGCGTCGCTGGCCACCAAGGGCGAGATGAACGAGACCTACTGGCAGGCCCTGGAGTACTGCCACCGCACCAGTCGGGAGGAAGGTATCGACGCTGCTCTGCACTACCAGGGTCGTAACCTCACGGCGCTGCTGGTGCCTCCGGACTTTGCCCCCTCCATCGAGATTGCCGCGCAGGCGGGTTACCCCGTGGTGACGCTCCCCGCGGGCATCAACAAGGACTCGCACATGCCCTACGGACTGGCGCTGATGGGCACGGCCTACTCGGAGGCGACGCTGATCAAGTATGCCAGCGCGATCGAGGACGTGCAGCTGTCGTCCAACACCCCGTGGAAGCGCAGCCTGGCCACGTGGAGCGGCTATCTGGATCGGAACATTCCGGTGAACTAAACGATGTACTTTTGTACTGTTTTTTTTTTTTGTCCAAGTGATAGAAAGGGGAGGCAGGGAAACTCGCTGCATCTCCCCGCGTAATTAATGGTTAATGGGACAATAGAATTTGAACCTCATGGTGACTTTCGTGCGATCTAGTCGTGGGGTATTAATAATAATGGTTCGTAGGAGGCAACCTATTAGAGTTTGGTACCCGTTGGTGATGGGAAGATAATGTCGTGTTCCA